CCCATGTTTTGCAGGTTAATTGAAAATATTTGGGGAGGGTGGGTGTCTTGCTTTGAATCTCTCATATAACCTCATTCACAGTCATATGCCCGAATCTTCTAGCCAGGACATTGCATCTTATTACACACACACACACAATTTCATGTCGGTTGCAATACCCAGCGCTCGCTTTTATTCACTAATCTTGCAGCTGGGCCTGAAGAATTCCCAGCGGGGGAAAGAAGGCACAACTGTGTCCTGTCAGTGGCAACCAGTTTGATAAATGACAACGGCTCGTGCACACAGGCATGGCACACACACCCTGTTCCCCACATTTAAACCGTCTTTGTGTGACCAGGCTTCCCTTCCCCTTTAAACCTCAGCTGCAGGAGGAAGCTTTGAAAAGCTTATGTTCCTTTATATCTTCCCCTTTTTTAACTCATCTTCCAATCCTGAGTCTTTTCACTGACCTTCACTTTCTCATCCCCGGCTCATCCAGAGGTATAGCTGTTTTGCAACAAATACAACGGAGAGTGTGATTACATGGGGAGACAGATCGGGCTTTGGACCACTGGTGGAGCGGTCCAGTGTGATCTGCTTCCCAGGGATCCCACGATGCAGGGGAAACTGCGCTCCACCCAACCTCCACCTTTCCCTAAGCGGGCACTTTTTGGTTCAGCCGTAAGGCTGCTACATTTGGGGGGAGCGCTTTAAAGGGAGTTCGCTCCCTGAAAAGCAACCCTTTTTGATGCAAAATGCATTTGCCTTTCCAGAGGTCTGATCACACTTTAAGAGTATTGTGGCGCTTTTAAAGACTACGAAATCTTATCTGCCAAATGTTTTTCTAGACTGCTTAGTGCATCTTAACGAATGATCCATAGCCCACGAAAGCTCACGTCCCATAAAACAGCTTAGTCTTTGAGAGATATGGCAACGATTTTGCCTTCCCTCACAGATATTTAGACTTCAGCCACGCCAGGACCTTCCTTTGCCAGCACTTGGGGGTGTTTGCGATGGGAACCGTTTCGAGCCATGACATCACCTTGGTCAATCGCCGCCTGAGGTTTCCAGGCCACAGACGCCATACCATAGATATACGGACATTTCCTTCACTTAATCCCCGATGAGATTCAGCTTTTTGTGGGCAGAATTTGGGCGGCCCGTATGTAAAAACCACCTCTTCTGCTCCAAGGAAAGCAATACCGTTTGACCCTTGCATTTTCAAGACATGAATTAAGACAGGGATGAGTGGACTTCGGGACCTCAGGTTCTGCTTCTGTTTTCTTCAACAAGAATTCCAAAATCCACCCGCAGGAGCCCGGCGGGGAAAGCATTGAAATTTAGAATAAGAATGGAATCTGAGGCCCAGAATGGAGTGGACCTCACAGGTTTTTCGCCAGAGCGTCAGAGAGGGTTGTGGAGATGAGAAGGTGGAACTTGAGAGGATGGGATGAAAGATGGCATATAAACATACCAAATAATGGGTCAATAAACCCGAGTCAATGCACTATGAAGAACCCAGGCACCTGACACCTCCTCATCTTCTTTCTGTGCTTAAAATTGTGTTGTTGGGCCTATTCAAATTTCTTTTAAAAAAGGTAACCCTTTCTGGGCCAAAGTGCCATGAATGATCTCAAGAGATATTATGAGACAGCCAGGCTGGGTCTTCTTAAATTCACGGCGTCTGTGCCAAGCCTGCTGATCAGGGAAAGAGAGAGGAACCGTGAGGAGCGTTTCATGCCATCCTCTCTTCCTGCTGAGAAACCTCCTCTGACCAATTTCATCCATATTCACTAGAAACTGGGTAATGACTGCCTTTCTGCTTTTCATTTGTGCTAATTCATTTAAATGCATGCAGGTCTAAAATTAACCTTTGGGCTTACCATAGCTGCGTCACCCTCGCCTCGACGTCTCAGCTAATTTGCCCCGCGTTCAGACAGGATGGAATAATCATACAAATGCCATAGGTTACGCTGAATTTCCCCAACACACACACACAGAGAGCAGAGACCCACAACGGGTATGTGCATCACAAGGTGTGAAGAAGACCTTGGGGCAACTTCTTTGTCTCGTCCCCATTTGTCTTTGCTTGATCTGGCTGAAGCAAGGGCCCCATAAAAGACCTATGTGAGGGGACACGATTTTGAAATACAGTCTGTCCACAGCGACTTGGTTTTGTTTTATGAAAGGCCGCGGCCCCTTTCCACACAATCTCTTTTTGCCTCCCTTGATGTTGGCTTGTGGAGGCGGTTAGCGACCAGAAAAGATGTCCACCTCTGAGGGGGACCGGTCT